ATGGATTACAAGTTCTTTTCCTATTTAATCTTATGTCAGCTGACATTGCTCGACGAGGAAGGAGATGGTTAGGCATGCGCAACACGTGTCCTAGCCATCTCAGTTGATATAGCTTCAGCCAACAACCCCATCAACTAACTTTGCCTCCTTATCTAGCGCTCTAAGCCTAACCTCAACATTACGCGTTACATTATACCACTTAACACGGAAGACTGAATACAAACAACTATAGTCAAAAACAGCTAGCCTCTTCACACCTTTCAACCATACAGTATTCACTATTTATTTAAACGCAAAAAACTTGGTACAATATGGCACCAAGAAGGATGCGACACACAATAATGATAAAACAACGTAGATCAAAAGTAAAAAAAATTTTTTAAATAAATATAAGTAGAGAACGGATAAAGAACTTCATCTGGAAGGAAAACAGTCATACTCAACAAGTTCAAACAACAACAAATTCGTCAACTATCATCTGGAAGGGAAGAAAGAAGGAAATTCCAACACGTTCGCCATTGATGACTGCGATTCTTGGCCATAACAGATAACGTTTCGAGCCGTCGATTCGAGCTATCTCGGGGACCCAAACCAGGAAGTCGTGACACACCAACCGATGCTAATCTAGCAAAAAAATTCTTCATCCCACGACGCCACGTCACAGACTGACCACCTCTCCGCCTTTCCCATCCCGTCCCAGGGGTAGCGAATAGGGAACTGTACGGAAGCCTCTGGGATGACATTCGCAGCACATGTCCAAACCACCGAAGCCGGTTTTCCAGATGACGACACTCAATGAATGGTGATCTCCACTGTGTTCAAACACGCCGCCGAACCTCAGAATTATTCACACGATGATGCCAACCATACAGAGAGTGGGAGAGAACTTCTGAGCAGTACACACGTCCTCTGATCAATAACCAGCCGTGATATCATGTCTGCATTGGAAATTATGTAAATTGAAGAATGCTACAAGCACCTTTCGCGCCCGTTGTGAGAATTCGTCACTAATCAGTCCATTAGGTTTGGTGTAACTTCCCAAATAAATGACAAGATCGACACACTCTACCACTTGACTCGCTATCTTTATACTGTGAGTAAGTACCTGCCAGTGGTGCTGGATCATCCTACATGTATCAGGGAGCGAAATATGTCATACCTCCTCGACTTCTGTGGCAAATACGACAATTATTAACCAGAAATTAATAACATTCCACTAAAATGTGAATTTAACTCACGAAACCATAGGGTTACTATGTTTACTTATCATCTCTACATCTCTAAGCTCGGTAGCTTGTTGAATGGAGCTTTTAAAAACAAACAAAACATATTTTTCACATTTGAATAGATATAGCCAAATTATTTCGGTTTGAAAACTACTTCTCGAAATAATTATCACTTGTAACATTGACAGAATACACCTTTAATATCACACAGAGACACACAAAAGCTCCCAAGAGCACTAGATTTGGAGTAGAAAGGACATATTCACTGAGTGACAGATAGCTCTGTCCTTCTTTATGGCATTGGGGCATAGGATATGAAGAGGCTATCCGAATTTAACTATAGGTGCCTGCGTTCAATCTCTCTTGTCAAGTAATATAATATGATGAGCAATAATAAAGTTAGGTGTACAGGAAAGTCAGTAGATGAGGTTGTGAACCTGTATCTACTGAGATGATGGAGAGTACATGTGTTACGCATGCTAAGCTATTAAATTCCTCGTCGAGCACTGTTACCCGACCTACAGTCAGGGTCAAATCAAAATATGGCATCAGTCCATGAGGTCTTCCACCGTTACTTTGACTCACATAAAGAGGTGTAGATAACCTAACAGTGATCATCAAGACGCAAAGCATTAATGGTCGGAGACTGCTGGTAATGGAGACTGCTAAAAATCCTTCCCAATCTCGCAGATACATTCACCTTCTGGAGTTCTCCTAGATCTAATAATTCCCAATTACTCTCCATATAATTATCCTTTCTCGCGTACATTTCTCTGCTTTTCTTCTCTTCTCCACCTCTATGTGTGCTATATAGAGTGTGGCATCTTGAATTATTACACTTTTGTGCATAGGTCTGCATTGAAAACTCGGTCAGTCACAAGTTCGTGCACTAGTCTTTGTTCAATATGTGGGGCTACCTCATTCCTGGAACACAGATTTCGAAGAAAGAACCTATTTGCCACTAGGACGCTTGATTTTATTTTGACCAATATACCAGGATAAGCATGATGAAAGGAAATTAAACTACCAACTTTACAGGAAAAACTAGACATACATAATTTCGAGTTTACGGATGCTCAGCCTACTCATAAGTCGTCAATGAACATAACAGAACTCGGTATACATTTTTATCACACTTTTGACATTACAACAATCTTCAATCAAATTTCATGAAAATCTTTAGCTGACTCTACGTATCTATTCAAATAAGCGGTTTTTTTAACATAACAAGGTGTACAGCACCTGCTTTAAGATTGACAACCTCGCCTGCTAATTTCTTTAGTGCAACGAAGTGACACTTGTGTCCTACGTTACATTGCGATCTCCTTGCTAAATATGATTGTCTGTTGAACCTGTAACTGAGGAAATTAATGTTGTGTTAACTTCAGATTTTTTATCTGTTCTCAAGACAGAAGTCCACGGTTGAGCTGAAAAACAGCTGTGTTAGGTCACTACTTATTAAAGAAACTCTGTACGTCATTGGCAGAATGAACCACTAGGAAACATCATAACGATAAGAATGACTACCAGAATTCCGGGAGGCCAAACAGACAACCAACTAGAAGAAAAAAGAAAGCTGCTTTGTAACCACCACTGATTACGATTGCAGGATATGTACAGCCACTCGAGCAACTGCAGTTCATTGATTCAACATTAAACTAACCCAGAATAGTATGCACTGAACAAAGTATAGTGAAAAATCAGTTCAATATCACTACTCTCAATATTTAATTCCCGGGACACTGGTTCACTAACACGCTATAGGGAATGTCAAGAGAGTGAATCTTATCAAAAGTCACCTTTATAAGAACAGTGCCATTCTTACTAGACAGATCACCAAATAAACATCTTAAAAGCCTCTAATAACAGTTATCGCTTTAATTAAAAACCAAAAGACATTCATTTACAAAAGTGTAACTGAAGGAGATAACAGCACTCGAAAGCATCAAAAAGTATTAGTGTAGTAGGTTTCGACAACTACAAACAGTTTATTTCTCTCCAGGTAGTTAGGAGAATCCTAACCAGTGAAGGTATTCCTGTCAAGAGAAATGAAATATACAATACCGCAGTTCTAGAACCCCTCAACTTCACACAGTAATAAGACCGAGGTTTTTAGATTTTCATCAATTATATCACAAATGAAAATTTTTAATTTTAATAACAATATAGCATAGATTTTGTATTGGGTTAGGCAGGCAGAGTATGCAATCTAGTGCATCAATATCATAGCATCAGTATCATCATCTGTACAGGGACACAGAAAATATTGTTGCTCAACTTAACACGCAACTGGTGAAACATACTCGAAATATACGTGTAATGGCCACAAGTACTGACATATTCAAACGGCTATACCTGGTTTAATACGCACATAATTTGGAATAAAACAACAATCAACAGGATTACAATTGAAAAATATAATATTATGCATCAAAATCTGTAGAGTCCTGTATTGATAGCAAAGAGTGTTCACCATGTTTCGAAGAAAAATAAGAGCATGTGAAAACGAAACTACCGAAGATATGCAATCCACACTGCAACATATAAATTCGACTATCAACAACAAATCATCTACTCTTAACAAGTCATTCTTGTATGTCTAGGCTGTTCATAACCCTAAAGTTATTGACAAACAAATTCATATTCTTCCCCGTAAGTAAATCTGACGTTTTTAAGTGGTCGACAACAGAATTGGCTTTTAAGCACCAGCTTATAGACTTAGGTTATCACGTATTTACAGCCTTAACTATTCAACAATGGTAACTGCCCGTGTATTGCCATTCATGAAAATACCGAAGTGTATTCCTCATTTCCCTTAGTCGAAAATGGATTCTAAGTGACCCGAAACTACCCCGTCTATGAGAGCTACCGTTGAGAGCTATTCCGATTGAAACTTCACAAAGTTAAATTGCAACAAACTGTCACGCAGATCAAATAACTGACGGATTCATAAACTAATTCAAATCACATATTTTGTCTTTTACAAAAATAAACCAAATATGATCTATGTAACAACCAGTCTCAATTTGATGGAAGCTGAAGGATCTTCAGTCTTAGTTACTGCCTTTTCAAATTACCAATCAATGAGAGGACAACGAAATCGCGTTACTTATAGGAAATAAATAAACCCCTCTAGGTCAATGAGGTGCATTTTAAAAATACAATACCAATAACTTAGTTGCCCACAAAGACCAAGACGGATGAATTCCACCTCGATGAATAAAAAAGGTGGTTGCGTTTTCTACAGTAAACACAGATCCGCTTTCATTCCCCCAAAACATTTCAAATTTTAGGAGAATAACCGCGACCATGAAAAATACAAGTCAGTAAGCTTCCTAAGGCAAAAAAGTACCAAGACATAGGCTCATAACTAAGAGACTATTTCTTCGTCATAACAGAAAACATGCAGAAAGTAACAGTGACAAAACAAGCAATCGTCTCTTTAAGCGTGTGATGCGTGGAAATCTTTGTACAGTTAGATGATTCAGCAAATAACAAAACTTGTGTATTTCGGATGATCGAACGACAACAGACATACACCGAAAAGATATGACAAGCCTTAATTTAAACTTCATTGTTTATCCTACTTTTTTCACTGCTCCGATATCTTTCATACAGAAAATGTATTATGATAAATACTATATATGACAGTGATAGGTTAGAATAATTCTAATTCACTTTAAAAAATTTAGGGAAACAAAAACGGGAGTAGGTTGATAGTTATTGAGTAAATTTCTAACGATTTAAATGCATGAATAAAACATCTACACATACCTGGGCTAAATCTGACCTCTCAAACTGAGAGGAAACATTACCTCTAGAGGCGTAAGGAAAACAACTCATTTTTGTGTGTCAGTGATTAGAAAAATTCATGTGTCTGAGATCCATATTGCAATAAACATGTAGAGAAGGAAGAATTAGGGGAGACTTAGATTTTTCGACTTGAGCGCCAGTAATCCGATATGCAATGTCCTTAACAGAGGTTAATAAAAAGTTGAAATTTATTATTCATACCTGCAGACGAACTTGAGGTATCGCACAATTCTGTTTTTTTCAGTATATATCATCCTGTACATTAGACAATAAACGTTAACAGTGTACCTCAGAATGCTTGCATTTACCGAGGATCCCCATTCTTAGTGGCATTTTGGTAAAAGTGAATCGAGTAAGATATCGACATGCAATTCTGAATGTTGTGTAGAATTTTGCATGTCTAGTTTTCTGCAGCCTATAGCACATTCTTCGCGGTTATGGAACTGAAATTATGATAATACAGGTAAAAAGTTTTAAATGAATTGCCCACTTCAGTGTAGGATATCCCTACCTATCTAAGAATGAAACTGATGATTTCCTAACATCTTTAAATACTGTTTTAGGACAGTGGAGGCATTTTATTCGTCACCGTTTCACTTAGAGTTTGTGAACCAGAAGTCTCAATAACTCGAACTATTTACCCGATAAAATCGTATCTGCTGTAAGGTTCAATGAGAAGCTTAACCTACAGAAAGATGCGTATTACAAGGATCAACACAGGCCACAATTACTTATTATCCTTTATCATCTGAATAATAATTGAGAGGTTATATCTTTGAACATCTATTGATTCGTCCTTATCCCGGTGGTTAGTCATTCTGTGTCCTTCTCAACGTAGGGATACTATTCAAATTATCGGTCATACATAGTCATGCATTGATTATTCGGTAGGACAAACTCAGATTCAGTATTTTTCTGTTGCAGCACGCAATCAACATATGTGATTTTGAACATATGTATGAAATGTGCGATTTTGACTAAAGAAATTTAAAAGTAACTAAATCCTCAATGGAAATGACTACCTGATAAACTATAATGACATACCAATGTTCATTTTGATCTCAGCAAGGCTCCATTGTGGTTCGGTTGGAAAATCTAAGGGCCCTTGGGTTCACCTACTATTACGGTCTAGAAGGCACTACGTGTTACTCCACTCTGGCAGATATATTTCTAGTACATTTGTCGATTTCTCTTCTAGCCTTCCACGGTCAGGGATTTGATAAATGATAGTAGGTAGCCTTGCCCTACTCCCGCCTTCACTTCAAATTCTTTGGTAAGCCGTCCGTTGTGAATCATTTGACATGTGGTTTCACCATATGGGTACTCAACAAGTATTATAAATAAATGTCTGCCCCATTGCACTCTGTAACATTGTAGTAGTTACTTCCCAGAGACGCTGTCAAAGGTTTATCCGAAGTTGGAGAAGTCACGATGTAGTTCTGAATGCCGTTGCATGCTTTGTCTGATAACGTGGCACGGCTTCACCATTTAATCGATGCATGATTTGTTTTCTTAGACCCAGTTCTCCTCCAGCAGGGTTTTGCGATCTTAATATCTTTTGGTATTTGGTATGGACAGGAACATGAACCAGCGCTAATTCTTAAAAAAGCCCAAGCCAATCTTCCTTGTTGGTTTGACGAGGCAATCTTTCTTCCAGCCGGCAGATACCTCTCCATCCTTCGCATAGGCATGTCCGCCGAGGTCTATGGGTCCGGTTTTTGGTTCTTTTAAGGGGATTTCATTCGTTAATGCTCCTTTCCCACCTTCAGACATCACTAAAATTCGGGACCTCTGCTTTTCCTGGGGTGGGTAAACAGTGTTAGTTCGGTTCGCCGGTGGCGGTGGAATTTCTAGCAGAGCTCCAAGTAGTGGTTGACTCAAGACTCCTTCGAAGTTACCGGCACAGCTTTTTCTTTGTTTGTCCTCTTTGGTAACTGGGTTTCATTTACTATCACTTGTTCCATCCGTGGTGGTGTCTCCACAGATAGAGACTTGTTTATTTCACAAAGTGTTCCGAGGTCTCTATCGCCTACAATCTAGCCTGCTTGATACCCCAGTGTGTCACAAGTTCTCTCGTCCATGCTACAGTAGGGCCTTGACAACAGTTTGCTATGAACACTCAGATGTAGGAGGTGATTAGGGAGTTCAGTAGGTTCAGATGAGTACCTGAGTAGAAACTGTATCTCCTCCATGATTTGTACAGCTTTCTCTGTCTGTCGAGTGACGAGTGCCCCTTTGTGTTTTTGACTAGGTTTCCCACTTACCTCGTCATCTGTCATGCCTTCGAAAATAAAGCTTAAGAAACAGTCAGTCTCATAAAGTAATACGAGCCGTTGGTTGGTAATTTGAGCGCCTACTTTGTTAGAAAACTTGGTTGCTAAACTAACACTAGTGTTCACTCTTTTTTCAGTGTTCCATTTGTTATGCTCAGTTTCTCCTTCCTTTTTAACTAACAGCACTCGACCTTCATCTGCTTCACCGTTCTACTCTCCTCCGTCAGTTTCCAGGTGTTCGTGGAGAGCTATTTCTGGTCTTGCTCCTTTTTCCTTCAGTCGCCCATGGATTATTTCCATATAGTTTTCGTAGAGTCACAATGTTTTTCCACTCTGGTTTCCCGATTCATGTTTTTTAATGTCTTCCATTTTTCCTTGATGACTGTAATAGTGCCTTTTGTAGCATCTTCCGCCAGTTTCTGAGTTTTGAAAGGCTTCTTGGAAGGCTTTTGTCGTTATCTTGAAGTTCCCATGCACCCGGTAGTGATGTTAGATCGCACTTGTTTCCCTTCTCAGTGCTGAATGCATAAGCTGCATCTTTACTTTTTCGAGATTGAGAAAAAGTTCGCCCAATATTTTATGTGGTGATGTGTGAGATGATGCAGAGTGAATGCATCTATTACATCAAAAACTGTTTGGAGCCACATCTTTGATAGTTCTTCAAAATGGCCGCCAAATACTTCACGGACTAATGCCACGTTTTTACCTGAACGACCCTGACTCTTTTCTAACCTAATTTTTCTCATCGAGGAAGACGATGGCTTGACATACGCAGCACATGTTCCAGTCATTTTGATCAACCTAGCCTCACTACGTAATCAATTGACTTACTTTCCCTACTTTTCGCTACGCATCTAACCTCAATATTACTCACCACACCATAAGAATTAACAAAAGAGATGGGCCACAGACACTAATGATCAATTAAAGGTAGTCTTTTCATGTCTTTTACCTTCAGGAGTCACTTCTCACAGCCTAGGAGAACAATATCATCGGCATTCTCTATGCTGACGAAGCTGTTCCCTTGTAAGCCGCTAAATTCAGTCGCAGGCAATTCTATTGGTACGTGCATGCAGACAGTAAACTTAAATAAGTGCAGCAGTTACAGAAATGAGTCCACTGCTTTTCGTAATCTACATTAACGACATCTGCAGCGTAATCAAGCATGTTACCCCATACCTCTTTGCTGACGACTTAAAGACTGTATACAGCTTCCCCCATCCTACATCGAACGAGAGATTCACACATATTCAAGATGATCTGGATGGGTTACATAACTGGAGCAATGACTGGCAACTGCCATTCAATTCGGATAAATGTGGTGTCCTACGTTTCAATAACTCCCATCCGATTTTCAGGTTACACATAGGTAACACTTTTCTCCAAACCCACAGTTTCATAAAAGACCTGGGAGTTAACTACTCAGAAAAATTAACATTCAGTCAGTACGCGAAGCACTTCTTTCTAAATGGCGAAGATTCACAGGCTTGTTACTTTGAAAATATACACAACTGAGGCTGAAGTCCCTTTATACAAAGTTATGCTTCCTCAAAAAATTCAACACCGCACAATTGTCTTCGGGTTCGTGCATGGGTATGACAGGTGTCAATGTAGTTGAAGACTGAACGATCGATTCATGGTCGTTTGCTCAAAATCAACTTCCCCAATTTTCGTGGAGGCATCAATACGACAGTCATCGTCTCATCGGTCGCGGTTCAGAAAGAAGTCAGCAATAGACCGTCAGAAGTAATATTGTGATTTATTATTGTAATATTTGTTCATAGACCTTAGTTGTACATTGGCTATGTGTTGGTGTTAGAATAAAAAATTCTCGAGTCGCCAAACTGGGTTCTGGTTTTTGCGTCCGTTATTACTAAGCGTTTCTGAGAAGCTTCGAGGAACAGCGTGAGTCCCAGCGTGGCAAGAGCTGGGCATTAACGGTTTACGAGACGTGGCTGACACCACCGTATTACTAGACGAGGACGCTACAACTAGCGGGTATATGCAATTGATGCACTATCCAAACATAGGTAAATCTCTGAGACACATGAATATTCCACCGTATGAATCCTTGATATTCATATTCCTTAGCGCCAGATTACCCATGTCAAGAACGTATCACTAGACGCCCAGATTCCGCAAGAATCTTATCACCTATGGGTGATTAACCTCGTGGTGTGGTCTTGAACATACGTTAAGACCTATTGATTATGTGTGTGGAGATACCTATAAGATATGAAAAGGCAAAATGTAATCTCGTTAACTCCAGAAACTTACGGCTTCTTCATTAACCGGCATTCGGTGCTAACCTTCACTAATTAAGTCGACTGACTAGGCTGGTGGCATGAGGTCAAGCCCCCACTCCACCTAGGCTCATTGATGTGTCGCACTCAACAAAATAAGCCATTTGTCAAGTATCAAACAATAACTCTCTGAAGAAATTCCACGAGAAAAGTCTTCAGAATCTTCCATAGTACATACTTAATTAGCTTTCTCCGAATGGCATTTTCTTGCAAAGAACTATTCTATTAGCATGCAAAATACAGGCCATAGCACTGAGCCACATCGACATGCATCTACCAACTCACTTCTTTTCGTGGAGCTGAGTACATTGTCCGCGCCATGCATCCACTTGTAAAACTTGCTCGTAAACACTGCACAGCAAGGTAAGCGGAGTAAGTGTGTCTTTGTTTCAACGACAGAACACCCTGTGAACTCTAGAAATCGTTCAGCGTCTAGGGAAAGACTCTATCAAGC